TTTACTCTCTTTTGGTAGACATGATCCCCATTACTGATTCGCCACGCATGTTGTTAGTAGAGTCTGTTGGTGACAGGGGATGGAAGGTCGAGCACTTGAAGTGTTGGTTGCCTAGACATTTGGTTTGACAAATACAGGAAGTTAACTTGTACCCTAATCAACCTGACTGCATGGTTTGGGTGAGCTCGTCCACTAGAGAATTCTCAATTAAGTCTGCTTAGGATCTTATCCGACAGCGACGGAATTTTTCTCTAGTGGATAGATTTATGTGGAATAATATTGTACCGCTTAAGATGTCTTTTTTTGCATGGAAGGTGATGCGTAGTTTGGTTCCTTTGGATGCGAATTTGAAGCTACATGGAATTCCACTAGTATCAAGATGTTCGTGCTACCTCTCGCAGGAAGAATCTTTAGTACACCTTTTTATTACGGGTCCTGTAGCAATGGAGGTATGGAGTTCCTTTCAAAAGAGGTTTGGAATTCTAGAGTCTTATCGTTCTTGGTGTCAGCATTGTTTGGTCATGTTTTGGCTCGAATTCTATGGTAACGTGGAACCACATAAGGGCAGTTGTCCCTATAGTAGTTCTTTGGTTTCGATGGAAATCTAGGAATAAAGCGCATTTTGATGGAGCACGTTTTGAGGCTCGTAGGATAATCACCTTGATAGACGACTTTGTGGGCTAGCTAGGGTTGGCCTCCAAGCTCTCTCCGAGGCATTTTAGGGGTGACTACGAAGATCCATGGGCTCATCTAGGTGTTCGGTCGTCAAGGATGAAGAAGGTCTATGCAGTTTCTTGGAAGCGGCCACCATCAAACTATGTCAAGCTAAACACTAATGCCAATGTCTCTCAAAATCGGGCATATGGGGATGGATTGCTTCGCAATTCGGAAGGCTGTCTAATTTTTGCTTTTTACAAGGAATTTGGGGAAATGGATGTCTTGAGGGAAGAAAGTTTATCATTGTTGCATGGCCTTCGCTTGTGTAAAGAAATAACCAAGGGATCTCTGCTAGTGGAGGTAGATCTGAGTGTTTGGTTCATATGCTAAATGCTGGGGGTGTGTCAAAATGGCCTCTGTGCAACACATTGAGGAGCATAAAAACGCTATTAAATGCATTATCGGCTTCTATATCACCTGTGGTTAGAGAGACGAACTCTTCAGCTGACAAGTTAGTGGGGTTGCGATTGCCATCTAACCTATATTATACTTCGTATTCGCAGCTTCTGGGAATAGTTAGGGCCTCGATAACACTAGATAGTAGGGAAGTCTCTTATTTACGTTGGCAGCTTGTAAGGGAGTAGTGCCCCTATTTGTTCGCATTGCGGAAGATATCTTCACTCTTTGTACTAGTTCACTTTTATCAATAAATTAGGGGGCTGGCATCCCCACCCCGTGAGCGGGGTTTGCCCAAAACAATAACCAACATAATAATCATGAACAGTAAAATTAGGAAACATATAAATACTATGAATGAAATAGTTAAAATAATTCGATCTTATAGCTGTTTATAGAACCAAATCTTCAATTTATCCCTTGATTAGAAAGAAATGTTTGGCCACTCCTAATGGTGAAAGTGAAGCCAAGAAGAAGAATATCGATGTTTATTTTTTCTAAGGGAAGAGGAGAGAAAAACTACTATGTACGATGTCTCTGAAAATGACAATGAATCAAGAATATATTGTTGTTCCTACTCAAATAGATATCCCCTAACTTCCTAGAAATTATTTGGATAAAATAAATTATTCCTTTGATAGAGTTAAAGTTAGGATAAAAATCCTAACTAATTATCTTAAATAAAAATAGAGCTTTTCCAAGAGAAATAAGACTCTTGGTTTCTTTTTCTAAAGGTGTAGAGAATAATCTATTGATCTGCTTGTATTAGTCCTAGGTCCCACACTTCTGAATTCTAGAACCTCTCTAAGATGCGCCCATGCTTTACATCAATTAATCTTCTCAACAGTTCTTTTTGAAGTTCTTCTATTCCAAATTCCTAAAAATACCAACAAAACACAAAATTTAAATAGAATCCACTAAAATATCATATTATGAAATAATCTACTAAAATGAAGGGAGAATTGACACAAAATATATAACAATTTAACATCTTATAAAAAATGTCATATTATGCGTCTATCCAAATATTTTAATATCCTTAAAAACTTTCAAATTATATCGTTATTCTATATAAGAATGAGTTGTGGTCAAAGGTCGTACTTGAATTTTAACCACAAGGATAAGGGTAGTTTGGAAATGTGAAAATGCTTTATGAGCAATTGGATTATAGAGTACAAGTCATTACAGCTTTGGTTTCATAGTAATTAATTAGATGACCTTTTAGACATTTAAGGCTAGAGATAAGTTTGTTACATGATAGTGTTTGGTGTCAGGTTGAACACTGGGTACAGCTGAATTCAACTTGTATTTTGGTAGAATTATGTAAAAGCCCTTTTAATCATTTAATTGTGTTAGTATCCAAACCTCTCAATTTCACCAAGCCTTTCTCTTCCACTTTTTGCAAACTTATGATATAGATATGTTAAGACATAAGCAATGCCAATTAGTGGAGAAGTTTGGTTTCTTGGCTGCTACCATAGTAACTCCCATCTGTTCAAATTCAATTCATTTACTCACAGTTTTGTTTCAGCACAATCATGTAGCCTATTAAATTCAAATCTTGCTGTACTAGCTATTCCTCTTCCCCATTTTGTAGCACATTTCTCAATAAGTATGTTTTCTTTAGTCAGTCTATTTTTTGTTGTAAGAAATCTATAATCTTGTGGGTTGTATATGCAATTATTTGTAGTGTTTTAATTCAATTGTTCATGTTAAGCAAGTTTGACAGGAAGGAGATCATATTTGTTAATTGCTATTTGTGGATTAAAGTAAGTTTATCATTGTTAATCTTCCTATTTACAAATTTCATGTACCTTTTTTTTGCTTCAACCATTAGTTATGGCAGTTTTCAAATCATTTGCTACTTTATTGGAGGCTCCATTTGTGCAATTTTTCACTTCATTGAGTTTCTCAATAGGTTTAACTATATATTTAAAACTATTTGGCTACAAATCTAAGGTATATATTTCATCACTTTTAGTTGTTTTCTTGAATTGAATGGATTAAAATCCCTTAGCACCTTCTTGAGATAATTATTCTATAAATCAGTGGGTTATTGTTGTATTTCTTTGCAACTAACTCATAAATAGATGCTTAGTAGTTGTAATTCCCTAAAGAGAAGATGATGATTTGCTATATCTCCTAAAGCATAGAATAAATCATAATTGATTGATCGATTAATACGGAGGTTTTGTAATGATCCAAATGTCCTTGGAGTCAATATAAATTCAAGAACTTGGTTTGCAAAAACTGAAATTTCACTAGCTATGGTTTCTTCAAGTATGCAAATTGTTTCAATCTCATTTTGGGCTTGTTCTCGGTTGATTATTTTAATTGATTATATATTTTGATTTTGGATAATTAGTTTTTCTAATGTTCTCGATTGCTTTTGCATTCTAATTATAGATTTTTTTAATGATCAAAAAAGCTAAAATCTAGAATCGGCCAAAGAGTAGCTTTTGCTGATTTTGATTATTCTCTAGAATCAGGTTCTACAATCAGATTTTGTAAATCTAAAGCAATTGAGAACAGAATATAGGACAAGATAGTACAGTGAATTGCCCTTATATCAGGATCAAATTCAAACCAGACAGCAGATTTTAGCATCTCCAAAGTGCATGAGAAAATATAAGCAACTATTTATTTTACTAGATTGGATACAAAGTGGTTGGTCATATCTTATAATTATGTTTCATTGCACATTATTCTTTTGACTCAATATGTAACTTTATGACTTTTTTACTCAACATCACATCATAAATTTGCCATACTTCAATTCCTATACTACAAAACATCAAACAATAATTATTTACTACCTTCAACCATAGGAACTAAACTCCAGTTCCTATATTACAAAACATCAAACAATAATTATTTACTACCTTTAATCACAGGCACTAAATTCTCATGCATGGCATGAACTCTTCCGCCCTAGTTTATTCAACTCAAATAAGAATGACCATTTCACATCCGTTTCCACCACATCCGCCTCATAAATTAACTAAACATCAATGCCTAATTTCTTTTTGGGTGGGGCTAAATCCACACACCTCGTCAAAATCCATACCCTTAGTACCAAGATGATAAAAAAAACTCAAAGTATTTATGGGGGTTGATAGAAACCTTTTTCAATACCAAAATTACCCTTTTGTGGTGAAAATAGATGGTGCCAAATCGTTTCCTCTTCTCCCATCTTTTAATGACCTTTTCATCTCTTTGCTATACTTTTTCAAAATTATAATATTATCATTGTTAATTCAAGATCTCTACATAATTTTCTACAGTAGTAGGTGTAAATGCATGCTACATGTGAAAATTAAATTTAAATTCGATAAATAATATGTGACATGCAACTAAACCTACTAGTGTAACAAAATTTCTACACTAACATTGTATAAAAATGTAATCCATAAAGGCTATTATTTGACAAATCAAATCTATTGGGTTAATTTCATTTTGCATTTTCAAACTATACTCAATTATCACTTTAGTTTTGAAACTTTGATTGTGTATACATTACTCCCTAAAGTTTTAAATTCGTCCCATTGTAATCCAATCATTAACCGAAAGCACAAAAATTAACAAAATAATTGCTACTCCATGTTACCTTATAAATAAAATTTGAATACTCTATTAGTAGAGAGTGGCCTCCAATGAGATTTAGTTAGTATTGTATATTCCATCGAGATTAGACTAATATAGGGCAAGTTTAAGACTTAAAAGTGCAAAATGTAGTTAAGGGACCAAAGTGAGAACTATGGTATTATCTAAGGGTGCAAAATGTAATTAAAACCTCATCCATTCAATTATCCAACTTTCAATACCGGAAAATTTTTCCGCTTATAAGTCTATGTTGAAGTCTATGTTCTTATCGTTATAATCCCAATTCCTATCATTCCGTACAATCTACAATTCTCGGGATCAAGTCGTTAAACTTGTCTCATTTTAGTCAGCACCTTCAATAGGCTTAGAGAGCTCATTAAAATTCATCTTATTCACAGCAAAACTGGAAAAGATTCAAGAAATCGAGAAAGAGAAAAGAAAAAAGAAAGAAAACGGCTTCATTTATGTTATCTCTGTTCATTCGTGAATTCTTTTTGTTTATCACGCATTCCGGTGTGTGTTCATGGTGGTTTAATTTACTTGTGTTTGTTTGAATTGCCATGGTATGGGTTCTGTTTTTCAGTGATCATTTGATTGTTTTCGTTTTTTCTTGAAGTGGGATTTGGAGAGAAGCAGGGATAGAAGATGGAGTTCAATAAAGACGAGTTGAAGTTGTTAATTCACCAGTTCTTGGCTGAATCGGATGGAGAACAGTACAGGGAAGCACTTCAAATGTAAGCTTTTATAGTTTATTATTGTTTTTCAAGATTCCTCTTTTGGTTTTTGAAATTTTCCAGAAATGGGATTTCATTGGAGTTTGTTTCATTGTTGTTTTTTCAAGAATTTCAACTTTTTGAGCTTGTTTCACTGTATGAGAAATTTTTGTTGCATTATTGGGTTGATTTTATTATCTGGACAAGGTTGGAGAGGGAATCAAGGTTTTTCTTTGATATCAAGTACTTCAAAGAATGTGTGAGCAATAGAGACTAGGAGGAGGTGGAGAAGTACTTATCACGGTTCACAAATGTAGAGGATAACCCTGAATCCATTAGCATTTTCTTTGAGATCAGAAGGCAGAATTATTATGAAGCACATGACAAGCAAAAACTTCTTGTTAACTTTTTTAAATATTTTTTTAAAGTTAGTTCTTGAATTGTTTCGGGCTATTTTTTTAATTCCTGATTTTTTCTTGGTATTTTCACGATTTAGTATTCGGGGCTTTATTGGGTTTCTTTTATAACTCTGAACATCGGTAATTTTGTCCAGGGTGATCGTAAAAAGATGCTAAACATTCTTAAAAGGGATCTCGAAATGTTTACTCTTTCCCAAGCAGATATTTACAGGGGACTTGTACCCCTTTTCCAATTGAACAACTTCAGGTGCATATTACAACGTCTTTTTTGTTCTCATCAATTGATGCAAGTGATTATGGTGATTCTATTTGTAGTTTGGATGAGTTGCAATTGGTAACTCTATATTGGAAGTGAAGTTTCTTAGAATGGTATGGGCAGAAGAATGCCTTTAATTGCCCCCTATAACTGAGGCAAAAAGTGATACTTGGATTTGAAACTGAGGCAAGCAAGCTGTTCCAGGGTCAAAATCAGGCATTCTGGATGCAGGGAGGGCTGAACCAAAAAATCCTAAGGTGGAAGGAGTGGTTGATTTGTTGTCAAAATAATGTGTGCTGACCGTATAAGAGGATTCATCTCAAATCAGTTGAATGATTAAGTTGTCCACTGTGCTTATGTTCTTTCCATTTTGTCAATGTCCTCGTTGTACTTCGTAGAATTTTTCAATCTGTCCTTCTCTGGTACTTGTATGATTTTTTAGGCTTTGTAAGAGTGTGTGATGTGGATATATAAGAAGCTAAACCACATTGGTATTAAGTATAGGGCATATATTTCCAGAAAGCAAGAGAAGCTTTCTGACCATGGAGATGAGAGAGTCAGCCAGGATCCTACTGATGGCTAAGCTGAAGCAGTTGATTGAGGCAAATCAACTCATTGGTGATAAGCTTCAGTTTCCTACAGTGCAGAAACCAAGAATAGAAACACTACGGCAAGCAGAGGTATATAAAGGATTTCATATCTTCTTCATTTGCGTCAAAATCGTGTTGAATATCCATTACTTAAGTTGATGATATTGCTTATATGTTTTCTTGGTGAACAGCTTAAGTTGGCAGATTCAGCAATACGATAATAAAGGATCTAATCATAAATTGTCAAAAAGCATCTTCTATATGAGGACCATTACTGTGATCAAGCAACTGACACTATCTCATGTAGCTCATGGAGTAAGCTTAACTACTACTTTCTAGTTTATGCTTCAATTGGTTAAATAGACTATACTTTCTAGTTTGCACTGCAGTTGGTTAACTTTGTTGACTTGGACTTTTGAGGGTGCCTCGTGTGATAATTTGGCATCTTTGGTGTTGAATCTGGAGATCTTATATTATTTAACTCTATTGCCTTTGCTACTTTGTATTTGACTATGCATATCATGCTTGAATTTGTATTTTGAATGTGGCGAGGTTCTAATGGATGATTTTCTCCTCAAGCTAATGCTGTGAATCTCGTTTCTAACTGAGGTTTTTGTCACTTTATTGGGTTGATTTTCTTATCTGGACAAGGTTGGAGAAGGAATCAAGGCTTTCTATGATATCAAGTATTTCGAAGAATGTGTGACCTATGGAGACGGGGAGGAGGTGGAGAAGTACTTATCATGATTCACAAATGCAGAGGATAATCCTGAATCTTTTAGCATTTTCTTTGAGATTAGAAGGCAGAATTATTATGAAGCACATGACAAGTAACACTTCTTGTTAACTTTTTTTTTATATTTTTTTAAAGTTAGTTCTTGAATTATTTTGGGCTATTTTTTTAATTCATGGTGTTTTCCTGGTATTTTCATGATTTAACATTCTGGGCTTTATGGGGTTTGTTTTATCACTCTGAACATTGTTAATTTTGTCCAGGAGTGATCGTAAAATGATGCTGGACATTCTTAAAAGAGACCTCAAAGTACTTACTCTTTTCCAAGTAGATCTTTACAGGGGACTTGTACGCCTTTTCCAATTAAACAACTTCAGGTGCATATTACAGCGTCTTTTTGGTTCTCATTAATTGATGCAAGTGATTATGCTGATTCTGTTTGTAGTTTGGATGATTTGCAATTGGTAACTCAGTATTGGAAGTGAAGCTTCTTAGAATGGTATGAGCAAAAGAATGCCTTTAATTGCCCCCTATAAACTGAGGCAAAATGCGATGCTTGGATTTGAAATTGAGGCAAAAATGTTGTTCCGAGGTCAAAATCAAGCATTCTGGATACAGAGAGTGCTGAACCAGAAAATTTGAAGGTGGAAGGAGTGGTTGATTTGTTTTCAAAATAATGCATGTGCAGACTATATAAAAGGATTCATCTCAAATCAGTTGAATGATTAAGTTGCCCGCTGTGCTTATATTCTTTCTATTCTGTCATGTCTTCTTTGTACTCTGTAGAATTTTTCAATCTGGGCTTTTCTGGTACTTGTACGATTTTTTAAACTTTGTAAGAGTGTGTGATGTGGATGTATATGAAGCAAAACCACATTGGTATTAAGTATATGACATATTTTTCCGGAAAGCAAGAGAAGCTTTCGGACCATGGAGATGAGAAGTCAGCCGGGATCCTACTGATGGCTAAGCTTAAGCAGTTGATTGAGGCAAATCCACTAATTGGTGATAAGCTTCAGCTTCCTATCTTGCAGAAGTCAAGACTAGAAACACTAGTCAAACTGAGGTATACAAAGGATTTCTTATCTTCTTTATTTGCTTCATAATCGTATTGAATATCCATTACAATATTGCTTATGTGTATTCTTGGTGAACAGCTTAGGTTGGTAGATTCAGCAATGCGATACTAAAGGATCTAATCATAAACTGTCCAAGAATCTTCAATATGAGGACCCTTACTGTGAGGAAGCAACTGACACCATCCCCTGTAGCTCATGGAGTAAGTTTAACTACTACTTTTTAGTTTGTGCTTCAATTGGTCAAATAGACTATACTTTCTAGGTTGCACTGCAGTTGGTTACTTTGTTGACTTGGACTTCTGAGGGTGTACCTCGTGTGATAATTTGGCATCTTTGGTGTTGAATGTGGAGATATTATATTGTTTAACTATATTTCGTTTGCTGCTTTGTATATTACCCTGTGCATTTCATGCTTGAATTTGTATTTTGAATGTAGCGAGGTTCTGATGGATGATTTTCTCCTCAAGCTAATGCTATGAATCTAGTTTCTAACTGAGGCTTTTGTTGCATTATTGGTTGATTTTCTTATCTGAACAAGGTTGGAGAATGAATCAAGGCTTTTCTTTGATATCAAGTATTTCTAAGAATGTGTGAGCAATGGAGACTGGGAGGAGGCGGAGAAGTGCTTATCACGGTTCACAAATGCAGAGGATAACCCCAAATCCTTTAGCATTTTCTTTGAGATCAGAAGGCAGAATTATTATGAAGCACATGACAAGTAAACACTTCATGTTAACTTTTTTTTTATATTTTTCTAAAGTTGGTTCTTGAATTGTTTTGTGCTATTTTTTTAATTCCTGGGTTTTTCTTGGTATTTTCACGATTTTGCATTCTGGGCTTTATGGGGTTTGTTTTATAACTCTGAACATTGTCAATTTTGTCCAGGGGTGATCGTAAAATGTTGTTGGACATTCTTAAATGGGATCTCGAATCGTTTACTTTTTCCCAAGTAGATCTTTACAGGGGACTTATACCCCTTTTCCAACTGAACAACTTTTGGTGCATATAACATCTTTTTTGTTCTCATTAATTGATGCAAGTGATTATGGTGATTCTGTTTGTAGTATGGATGAGTTGCAATTGGTAACTCTATATTGGAAGTGAAGCTTCTTAGAATGGTATGAGTAGAAGAATGCTTTTAATTGCCCCCTATAAATTGCGGCAAAATGTAATACTTGGATTTGAAATTGAGGCAAGCAAGATGTTCTGGGGTCAAAATAAGGCAATTTGGATGCAGGGACTGCTAAAGTAGAAAATCCTAAGGTGGAAGGAGTGGTTGATTCATTTTCAAAATAATGTATGTGCAAACTGTATAAGAGGATTCATCTCAAAACAGCTGAATGATTAAAGTACTCGCTGTGCTTATGCTCTTTCCATTCTGCCAATGTCTCCTTTGCACTCCGTAGAATTTTTCAATTTGGCCTTTTCTGGTACTTGTACGATTTTTAGGCTTTGTAAGAGTGTGTGATGTGGATATATAAGAAGCAAAACCACATTGGTATTAGGTATATGACATATTTTTACAGAAACCAAGAGAAGCTTTCTGACCATGGAGATGATAATTCAACCAAGATCCTACTGATGGCTAAGCTGAAGCGGTTGATTGAGGCAAATCCACTCATTGGTGACAAGCTTCAGCTTCCTACCTTGTAGATGTCAAGACTAGAAACACTATTCAAACAGAGGTATACAAAGGATTTCTTATCTTCATCATTTGCTTCATAATCGTGCTGAAATTCCATTATTTAAGTTGATGATATTGCTTATATGTATTCTTGGTGAACAGCTCATGTTGGCAGATTTAGCAATGCGATACTAAAGGATCTAATCATAAACTGCCCAAGAATCTTCTATATGAGGACCCTTACTGTGGTCAAGCAATCGACACCATCTCCTTTAGCTCATGGAGTAAGTTTAACTACTTCTTTTTAGTTTGTGCCTCAATTGGTTAAATAGACTATACTTTCTAGTTTGCACTGCAGTTGGTTAACTTTGTTGACTTGGACTTCTAAGGGTGTACCTCACATGATAATTTGGCATCTTTGGTATTGAATGTGGAGATCTTATATTGTTTAACTGCATTTCGTTTGCTGGTTTGTATATTACCCTGTGCATATCATGCTTAAATTTGTATTTTGAATATTGCGAGGTTCTGATGGATGATTTTCTCCTCAAGCTAATGCTATGAATCTAGTTTCTAACTGAGGCTTTTGTTGCATTATTGGGTTGATTTTCTTATCTGGACAAGGTTGGAGAGGGAATCAAGGCTTTTCTTTGATATCAAGTATTTGTAAGAATGTGTGAGCAATGGAGACTGGGAGTAGGTGGAGAAGTATTTATCACGGTTCACAAATGCAGAGGATAACCCTGAATCCTTTAGCATTTTCTTTGAGATAAGAAGGCAGAATTATTATGAACCACATGACAAGTAAACACTTCTTGATAACTTTTTTTTTATATTTTTCTAAAGTTGGTTCTTGAATTGTTTTGTGCTATTTTTTTAATTCCTGGTGTTTTCATGGTATTTTCATGATTTTGCATTCTGGGCTTTATAGGGTTTGTTTTATAACTCTGAACATTGTTAATTTGTCCAGGGGTGATCGTAAAATGATGCTGGACATTCTTAAAAGGGACCTCGAAGTGTTTACTCTTTCCCAAGTAGATCTTTACAGGGGACTTGTACTCCTTTTCTAACTGAATAACTTTCGATGCATATAACAACGTCTTTTTTGTTCTCATTGATTGATGCAAGTGATTATGGTGATTATTTTTGTAGTATGGATGAGTTGCAATTGGTAACTCTGTATTGGAAGTGAAGTTTCTTAGAATGGTATGACTAGAAGAATGCCTTTAATTGCCCCCTATAAACTGAGGTAAAATGTGATATTTGGATTTGAAACTGAGGCAAGCAAGATGTTTCGGGGTCAAAATAAGGCATTATGGATGCAGGGACTGCTAAACCAGAAAATCCTAAGGTGGAAGGAGTGGTTGATTTGTTTTCAAAATAATGTGTGTGCAAACTGTATAAGAGGATTCATCTTGCTTGCCTTATTTTGTGTACAAACTGTATAAGAGCATTCAAAATAATATGTGTGCAAACTGTATAAGAGCAAATTGTATAAGAGGATTCAAGATAATGTGTGTGCAAACTGTATAAGAGAAGACATCTCCATGTTTTTTCCATTTTGTCAATGTCTCCTTTGTACTCCGTAGAATTTTTCAATCTGGCCTTTTCTGGTACTTGTAAGATTTTTTAGGCTTTGTAAGAGTGTGTGTTATAGATATATAAGAGGTTGATTTTTTTAGGCCTTGTAAGAGTGTGCGTTGGGAAGAGTGTATGTTGGTAAGAGTGTGTATTGGTAAGATTTTTTTGGGCCTTGTAAGAGTGTGTGTTGGTAAGATTTTTTAGGCCTTGTAAGAGTGTGTGCTGGTAACTCTGCATTGGAAGTGAAGCTTCTTAGAATGGTATGACTAGAAGAATGTCTTTAATTACCCCCTATAAATTGAGGCAAAATGTGATACTTGGATTTGAAACTGATGCAATCAAGATGTTCCGGGTCAAAATAAGGCATTCTGGATGCAGGGACTGCTAAACCAGAAAATCCTAAGGTGGAAGGAGTGGTTGATTTGTTTTCAAAAAAATGTGTGTGCAAACTGTATAAAAGCATTCAAAATAATGTGTGCAAACTGTATAAGAGCAAACTGTATAAGAGGATTCAAAATAATGTGTGTGCAAACTGTATAAGAGGAGACATCTCCATGTTTTGTCCTTTCTATCAATGTCTCCTTTGTACTCCGTAGAATTTTTCAATCTAGCCTTTTCTGGTACTTGTAAGATTTTTTAGACTTTGTAAGAGTGTGTGTTGTAGATATATAAGAGGTTGATTTTTTTAGACTTTGTAAGAGTGTGTGTTGGGAAGAGTGTGTGTAAGAGTGTATGTTGGTAAGAGTGTGTGTTGGTAAGATTTTTTTAGCCCTTGTAAGAGTGTGTGTTGGTAAGGCGTTGTAAGAGTCTGTGTTGGTAAGATTTTTTTAGGCCTTGTAAGAGTGTGTGTTGGTAACTCTGCATTGGAAGTGAAGCTTCTTAGAATGGTATGACTAGAAGAATGCCTTTAATTGCCCCTATAAACTGAGGTAAAATGTGATACTTGGATTTGAAACTGAGGCAAGCAAGATGTTCTGGGGTCAAAATAAGGCATTCTGGATGCAGGGACTGCTAATCCAGAAAATCCTAAGGTGGAAGGAGTGGTTGATTTGTTTTCAAAATAATGTGTGTGCAAACTGTATAAGAGAATTCATCTTGCTTGCCTTATTTTGTATGCAAACTGTATAAGAGCAAACTGTATAAGAGGATTGAAAATAATGTGTGTGCAAACTGTATAAGAGGAGACATCTCTATGTTTTTTCCATTCTGTCAATGTCTCCTTTGTACTCCGTAGAATTTTTCAATCTGGCCTTTTCTGGTACTTGTAAGATTTTTTAGGCTTTGTAAGAGTCTCTGTTGTAGATATATAAGAAAAAAAAACCACATTGGTATTTGGTATATGACATATTTTTACAAAAACCAAGAGAAGCTTTCTGACCATGGAGATGAGAATTCAACCAGGATCCTACTGATGGCTAAGCTGAAGCGGTTGATTGAGGTAAATCCACTCATTGGTGATAAGCTTCAGTTTCCTACCTTGCAGATGTCAAGACTAGAAACACTAGTTAAACAGAGGTATACAAAAGATTTCTTATCTTCATCATTTGCGTCATAATCGTGTTGAAATTCCATTACTTAAGTTGATGATATTGTTTATATGTATTCTTGGTTAACGGCTTATGTTGGCAGATTCAGCAATGCAATACTAAAGGATCTAATCATAAACTACCCAAGAATCTTCTATATGAGGACCCTTGTATAAGGCCTTGTAAGAGTGAGTGTTGGTAAGATTTTTTTAGGCCTTGTAGGAGTGTGTGTTGGTAACTCTGCATTGGAAGTGAAGCTTCTTAGAATTGTATGACTAGAAGAATACCTTTAATTGTCCCCTATAAACTGAGGCAAAATGTGATACTTGATTTGAAACTAGGCAAGCAAGATATTTCGGGGTCAAAATAAGGCATTCTGGATGCACAGACCGCTAAACCAGAAAATCCTAAGGTGGAAGGAGTGGTTGATTTGTTTTCAAAATAATGTGTGTGCAAACTGTATAAGAGGATTCATCTTGCTTGCCTTATTTTGTGTGCAAATTGTATAAGAGGAAACTATATAAGAGGATTCAAAATAATGTGTGTGCAAACTGTATAAGAGGAGACATCTCCATGGTTTTTCCATTCTGTCAATGTCTCCTTGGTACTTCGTAGAATTTTTCAATCTTGCCTTTTCTGGTACTTGTAAGATTTTTTAGGCTTTGTAATAGTGTCTGTTGTAGATATATAAGAAGAAAAACCACATTGGTATTTGGTATATGACATATTTTTACAAAAACCAAGAGAAGCTTTCTGACCATGGAGGTGAGAATTCAACCAGGACTCTACTGATGGCTAAGCTGAAGCGGTTGATTGAGGCAAATCCACTCATTGGTGATAAGCTTCAGTTTCCTACCTTGCAGATGTCAAGACTAGAAACACTAGTTAAACAGAGGTATGCAAAAGATTTCTTATCTTCATCATTTGCTGTATAATCGTGTTGAAATTTCATTACTTAAGTTGATGATATTGCTTATATGTATTCTTGGTTAACGGCTTATGTTGGTAGATTCAGCAATGCAATACTAAAGGATCTAATCATAAACTGCCCAAGAATCTTCTATATGAGGACCCTTACCGTGGTCAAGCAACTGACACCATCTCTTTTAGCTTATGGAGTAAGTTTAACTACTACTTTTTAGTTTGTGCTTCAATTGGTTAAATAGACTATACTTTCTAGTTTGCGCTGTAGTTGGTTAACTTTCTTGACTTGGATATTTGCGGGTGTGCATCTTGTGATAATTTGGCATCTTCAGTGTTGAATGTGGAGATCTTATATTATTTAACTGCATTTCATTTGCTGCTTTGTATATTACCCTGTGCATATCATGCTTAAATTTGTTTTTTCAATGTGGTGAGGTTCTGATGGATGATTTCCTCCTCAACCTAATGCTATGAATCTAGGTTCTAACTGGGGCTTTGTTGCATTATTGGGTTAATTTTCTTATCTGGACAAGGTTGGAGAGGGAATCATGGCTTTCCTTCTAGTATTTCTAAGAATATATGAGCAATGGAGACTGGGAGGAGGTGAAGAAGTACTTATCACGGTTCGCAAATGCAGAGGATAACCCTGAATCCTTTAGCTTTTTCTTTGAGATCAGAAGGCAGAATTATTATGATGCACATGACAAGAAAAAACTTTTCGTTAACTTTTTTTAATATTTTTTTAAAGTTAGTTCTCGATTTGTTTGGGGCCATATTTTAATTCCTAGTGTTTTTCTTGGTATTTTCACGATTTAACATTCTGGGCTTTATGGGGTTTTTATATAACTCTGAACATTGTTAATTTTTGCAGGGGTGATCGTAAAATGATGTTGGATATTCTTAAAAGGGAACTCGAAGTGTTTACTCTTTCCCAAGCAGATCTTTACAGGGGACTTGTACCTTTTTCCAATTGAACAGCTTCAGGTGCATATTACAATGTCTCTTTTGTCCTCATTAGTTGATGCAAGTGATTATGGTGATTCTGTTTGTAGTTTGGATGAGTTGCAATTGGTAACTCTGTATTGGAAGTGAAATTTCTTAGAATGGTATGAGCAAAAGAATGCCTTGAATTGCCCCTATAAATTGAGGCAAAAAGTGATACTTGGATTTGAAACTGAGGCAAGCAAGCTATTCCGGGGTCAAAATCGGGCATTCTGGATATAGGGAGTGCGGTACCAAAAACTCCAAAGGTGGCATGAGTGGTTGATTTGTTTTCAAAATAATATGTGTGCGGACTGTATAAGAGGATTCATCTCAAATGAATTGAATGATTAAGTTGCCGTTGTGTTTATGTTCTTTCCATTCTGTCAATGTCTTCTTTGTACTCCGTAGAATTTTTCAATATGGCCTTCCCTAGTGCTTGTACGATGTTTTAGGCTTTGTATGAGTGTGTGATATGGATATATAAGAAGCAAAACCACATTTGTATTAAGTATATGACACATTTTTCTAGAAAGCAAGGGAAGCTTTCAGCCAGGATCCTACTAATGGCTAAGCTGAAGCAATTGACTCAGGCAAATCCACTCATTGGTGACAAGCTTCAATTTCCTACCCTGCAGAAGTCCAGACTAGAAACACTAGTCAAACTGAGGTGTACAAAGGATTTCTTATCTTCATCATTTGCTTCATAATCATGTTGAATATACATTACTTAAGTTGATGATATTGCTTATATGTTTTCTTTTAACAGCTTAAATTGGCAGATTCAGTAGCGCGATAATGAAGGATCTAATCATAAACTGTCCGAGAATCTTCTATATGAGGACCCTAACTGTGATCAAGCAACTCACACCATCTCCTATAGCTCATGCAGTAAGATTAACTACTACTTTTTAGTTTGTACTTCAATTGGTTAAATAGACTATACATTCTAGTTTGCACTGCTGTTGGTTAATTTTGTTGACTTGGACTTCTGAGGGTGTATCTCGTTTGATAATTTGGCATCTTTGGTGTTGAATGTGGAGATCTCATTTTGTTTAACTGTATTTCGTTTGTTACTTTGTATATTAAGTTGTGCATATCATGCTTGAATTTGTATTTTGAATGTGGCGAGGTTTTGATGGATGATTTTTTCCTCAAGCTAATGCTTTGAATCTAGTTTCTAACTGAGGCTTTTGTTGCATTATTGGGTTGATTTTCTTATCTGGACAAGGTTGGAGAGGGAATCAAGGCTTTTCTTTGATATCAAGTATTTCAAAGAATGTGTGAGCAATAGAGACTGGAAGGAGGTGGAGAAGTACTTATCACGGTTCACAAATGCAAATGATAACCCTGAATCCTTTAGCATTTTCTTTGAGATCAGAAGGCAGAATTATTATGAAGTACATGACAAGTAAAAACTTCTTGTTAATTTTTTTAAATATTTTTTTAAAGTTAGTTCTTGAATTGTTTTGGGCTATTTTTTAATTCCTAGTGTTTTCTTGGTATTTTCACAATTTAACATTCTGGGCATTATGGGGTTTGTTTTATAACTCTGAACATTGTTAATTTTGTTCAGAAGTGATCATAAAATGATGCTGGACATTCTTAAAAAGGGAACTCGAAGTGTTTACTCTTTCCCAAGCGGATCTTTACAGGGACTTGTACCCCTTTTCCAATTGAATAGCTTCAGGTGCATATTACAACGTCTTTTTTGTTCTCATTAATTGATGCAAGTGATTATGGTGATTCTGTTTGTAGTTTAGACGAGTTGCAATTGGTAACTCTGTATTGGAAGTGAAGTTTCTTAGAATGGTATGAGCAGAAGAATGCCATTAATTGCCCCTATAAGTTGGGACAGAAAGTGATACTCGGATTTGAAACTAAGGCAAACAAGCTGTTTTGGGGTAAAATCAGGCTTTCTGGATGCAGGGAGTGTGGCACCAGAAACTCCAAAGTGGAATGAGTGGTTGATTTGTTTTCAAAATAATGTGTGTGCATACTATATAAGGGGATTCATCTCAAATCAATTGAATGATTAAGTTGCCAGCTGTGCTTATGCTTTTTCCATTCTGTCAATGTCTTCTTTGTACTCCGTAGAATTTTACCATCTGGCCTTCTCTGGTACTTCTACGATTTTTTAGGCTTTGTAAGAATGTGTGATATGGATATATAAGAAGCAAAATCATATTGGTATTATGTATTGACATATATTTCCAGAAAACAAGAGAAGCTTTCTGGCCATGGAGATGAGAAGTCTGCTAGGATCCTACTGATGGCTAAGCTGAAGCAGTTGATTGAGGCAAATCCACTCATCGGTGATAAGCTTCAGTTTCATACCTTACAGATGTCAAGACCAGAAACAGTAGTCAAACTGAGGTATATAAAGGATTTCTTATCTACTTTATTTGCTTCATAATCGTGTTGAATATCCATTACTTAAGTTGTTGATATTACTTATATGTATTCTTGGAGAAGAGCTTATATTGGCAGATTCAGCAATGCGATCTGAAGGATCTAATCATAAACTGCCCAAGAATCTTCTATATGAGGACCCTTACTGTGATCAAGCAACTGACACCATCCCCTGTACCTCATGGAGTAAGTTTAACTACTACTTTTTAGTTTGTGCTTCAATTGGTTAAATAAACTATACTTTCTAGTTTGCACTGCAGTTGGTTAACTTTGTTGACTTGGACTTCTGAGGGTGTACCTCGTTTGATAATTTGGCATCTTTGGTGTTGAATGTGGAGATCTCATATTGTTTAACTGTATTTCGTTTGTTGCTCTGTATATTACCCTGTGCATATCATGCTTGAATTTGTATTTTGAATATGTCGAGGTTCTGATGGATGATTTCCTCCTCAAGCTAATGCTTTAAATCTAGTTTCTAACTGAGGCTTTTGCTGCATTATTGGGTTGATTTTCTTATCTGGACAAGGTTGGAGAGGGAATCAAGGCTTTTCTTTGATATCAAGTATTTCGAAGAATGTGTGAGCAATGGAGACTGGGAGGATTTGGAAAAGTACTTATTACGGTTCACAAATGCATAGGATAACCCTATATCCTTTAGCATTTTCTTTGAGATCAGAATGTAGACTTATTATGAAGCACATGACAAGTAAACACTTCTTGTTAACTTTTTTTTTTATATTTTTCTAAAGTTGGTTCTTGAATTGTTTTGGGCTATTTTTTTAATTCCTGGTGTTTTCTTGGTATTTTCATGATTTTGCATTCTGGGCTTTATGGGGTTTGTTTTATAACTCTGAACATTGTCAATTTTGTTCAGGAGTGATCGTAAAATGATGTTGGACATTCTTAAAAGGGACCTCGAAGTGTTTACTACAGGAGACTTGTACGCCTTTTCCAATTGAACAGCGTCAGGTGCATATTACAACGTCCTTTTTGTGCTCATTAATTGATACAAGTGATTATGGAGATTCTGTTTGTAGTTTCGATGAGTTGCAATTGGTAACTTTGTATTGGAAATGAAATTTCTTAGAATGGTATGAGCAGAAGAATGCCTTCAATTGCCCCCAATATATTGAGACAAAAAGTGATACTTGGATTTGAAACTGAGGCAAGCAAGTTGTTCCGGGGTCAAAATCAGGTATTCTGGATGCAAGGAGTACTGCACCAGAAACTGCAAAGATGGAATGAGTGGTTGATTTTTTTCAAATAATGTTTGTATTGACTGTATAAGACGATTAATCGCAAATCAATTGAATGATTATGTTGCCATTGTGCTTGTGTTCTTTCCATTCTGTCAATGTCTTCTTTGTACTCCGTAGAATTTTTCAATCTGGCTTTCTCTAGCGATTGTACGATGTTTTTGGTTTTGTAAGGGTGTGTGCTATGGATATATAACAAGGAAAATCACATTGGTATTAAGTATATGACATATTTTTCCAGAAAGCAAGAGAAGCTTTCTGTCCATAGAGATAAGAAGTCAGCCAGGATCCTACTGATGGCTAAACTAAAGCAGTTGACTGTGGCAAATCCACTCATTGGTGACAAGCTTCAGTTCCCTACCTTGCAGAAGCCGAGACTAGAAACACTAGTCAAACTGAGGTATACAAAGGATTTCTTATCTTCATCATTTGCTTCATAATCGTGTTGAATATCCATTACTTAAGTTCATGATATTGCTTATATGTTTTCTAGGTGAACAGGTTAAGTTGGCAGATTCAGCAATGCGATAATGAAGGATCTAATCATAAACTGTACGAGAATCTTCCATATGAGGACCCTTACTGTGATCAAGCAACTGACACCATCCCCTGTAGCTCATGGAGTAAGTTTAACTACTACTTTTTAGTTTGTTCTTCAATTGGTTACATAGACTATACTTTCTAGTTTGCACTGTAATTGGTTAGCTTTGTTGACTTGGACTTCTGAGGGTGTACCTCGTGTGATAATTTGGCATCTTTGGTGTTGAATGTGGAGATCTTATATTGTTTAACTGTATTTTGTTTGCTGCTTTGTATATTACCCTGTGTATATCATGCTTGAATTTGTATTTTGAATGTGGTGAGGTTCTAATGAATGATTTTCTATTCAAGCTAATGCTATGAATCTAGTTTCTAACTGAGGCTTTTGTTGCATTATTGGGTTGATTTTCTTATCTGGACAGGGTTGGAGAGGGAATCAAGGCTTTTCTTTAATATCAAGTATTTCTAAGAATGTGTGAGCAATGGAGACTGGGAGGAGGTGGGGAAGTACTTATCACGGTTCACAAATGCAGAGGATAACCCGGAATCCTTTAGCATTTTCTTTGAGATCAGAAGGCAGAATTATTATGAAGCACATGACAAGTAAACACTTCTTGTTAACTTTACTTTATATTTTTCTAAAGTTGGTTCTTGAATTGTTTTGGGCTATTTTTTAATTCCTGGTGTTTTCTTGGCATTTTAATGATTTTGCATTCTGGGCTTTATGGGGTTTGTTTTATAACTCTGAACATTGTCAATTTTGTTGGGTGATCGTAAAATGATGCTGGACATTCTTAAAAGGGACCTCGAAGTGTTTACTCTTTCCCAAGCAGATCTTTACAGGGGACTTGTACCCCTTTTCTAACGGTACAACTTTCGATGCATATAACAACGTCTTTTTTGTTCTCATTGATTGATGCAATAGATTATGGTGATTCTGTTCATAGTATGGATGAGTTGCAATTGGTGACTCTGCATTGGAAGTGAAGCTTCTTAGAATGCTATGCCTAGAAGAATGCCTTTAATTGCCCCCTATAAACTGAGGCAAAATGTGATACTTGAATTTGAAACTGAGGCAAGCAAGGTGTTCTGGGGTCAAAATAAGGCATTCCGGATGCAGGGAGTACGGTACCAAAAACTCCAAGATGGAATGATTGTGATTTGTTTTCAAAATAATATGTGTGCGGACTGTATAAGAGGATTCATCTCAAATCAATTGAATGATTAAGTTGCCAGCTGTGCTTATGCTCTTTCCATTCTATCAATGTCATCTTTGTACTCCATAGAATTTTACCATCTGGCCTTCTCTGGTACTTGTATGATTTTTTAGGCTTTGTAAGAGTGCGTGATGTGGATATATAAGAAGCAAAACCACATTGGCATTATGTATATGACATATATTTCTAGAAAACAAGAGAATCCTTCTGGCCATGGAGATGAGAAGTCTGCTAGGATCCTACTGATAGCTAAGCTTAAGCAGTTGATTGAGGCAAATCCACTAATTGGTGATAAGCTTCAGTTTCCTACCTTGTAGAAGTCAAGACTAGAAACACTAGGCAAATTGAGGTATATAAAGGATTTCTTATCTTCTCATTTGCTACATAATCATGTTGAATATCCATTACTTAAGTTGATGCTATTGCTTATATGTATTCTTGGTGAACAGTTTATATTGGCAGATTCAACAATGCGATACTAAAGTATCTAATCATAAACTGCCCAAGAGTGTTCTATATGAGGACCCTTATTGTGATCAAGCAACTGACACCATCCCCTGTAGCTCATGGAGTAAGTTTAACTACTACTTTTTAGTTTGTGCTTCAATTGGTTAAATAGACTATACTTTCTAGTTTGCACTGCAGTTGGTTAACTTTGTTGACTTGGACTTCTGAGGGTGTACCTCGTGTGATAATTTGGCATCTTTGGTGTTGAATATGGAGATCTTATATTGTTTAACTGTATTTCATTTGCTGTTTTGTATATTACCCTGTGCATATCATGCTTGAATTTGTATTTTGAATGTAGCGAGATTCTGATGGATTATTTTCTCCTCAACCTAAAGCTATGAATCTAGTTTAACTGAGGCTTTTGTTGCATTATTGGGTTGATTTTCTTATCTGGACAAGGTTGGAGAGGGAATCAAGGCTTTTCTTTGATATCAAGTATTTCCAAGAATGTGTGAGCAACGGACTGGGAGGAGATGGAGAAGTATTATCACTGTTCACAAATGCAGATAATAACCCTGAATCCTTTAGCATTTCTCTTTGAGATCAGAAGGCAGAATTATTATGAAGCACATGACAAGTAAATTCTTCTTGTTAACTTTTTTTAATATTTTTTTAAAGTTAGTTCTTGAATTGTTTTGGGCTATTATTTTAATTCCTGGTGTTTTCTTGTATTTTCATGATTTAGCATTCTGGGATTTATGGGGTTTGTTTATAACTCTGAACATTGTTAATTTTGTCCAGGAATGAACGTAACATGATGCTGGACATTCTTAGAAGGGACCTCGAAGTACTTACTCATTCCCAAGCAGATCTTTACAGGGGTCTTGTACACCTTTTCCAATTGAACAATTTCAGGTGCATATTACAACGTCTTTTTGGTTCTCATTAATTGATGCAAATGATTATGGTGATTCTGTTTGTAATTTGGATGATTTGCAATTGGTAACTCAGTATTGGAAGTGAAGCTTCTTAGAATGGTATGAGCAAAAAGAATGCCTTTAATTGCCCCTATAAACGGAGGCAAAATGTGATGCTTGGATTTGAAACTGACGCAAACTTGCTGCTCCGGGGTCAAAATCAGGCATTCTGGATACAGAGAGTGCTGAACCAGGAAATTCGAAGGTGGAAGGAGCGGTTGATTTGTTTTCAAAATAATGCATCTGCAAACTATATTAGAGGATTCATCTCAAATCAGTTGAATGATTAAAGTTGCCCGCTGTGCTTATATTCTTTCAATTCTGTCATTGTCTTCTTTGTACTCTGTAGAATTTTCAATCTGACCTTCTCTGGCACTTGTACAATTTTTTAAGCTTTGTAAGAGTGTGTGATGTGGATATATATGAAGCAAAAACCACATTGGTATAAAGTATATGACATATTTTTCCGGAAAGCTAGTGAAGCTTTCATACCATGGAGATGAGAACTCAGCCAGGATCCTACTGATGGCTAAGCTTAAGCAGTTGATTGAGGCAAATCCACTAATTGGTGATAAGCTTCAGTTTCCTACCTTGCAGAAGTCAAGACTAGAAACACTAGTCAAACTGAGGTATACAAAGGATTTCTTATCTTTTTCATTTGCTACATAATCGTGTTGAATATCCATTACTTAAGTTGATGCTATTGCTTATATGTATTCTTGGTGAACAGTTTCTATTGGCAGGTTCAGCAATGCGATACTAAAGTATCTAATTATAAACTGCCCAAGAATGTTCTATATGAGGACCCTTATTGTGATCAAGGAACTGACAGCATCCACTGTAGCTCATGGAGTAAGTTTAACTACTACTTTTTAGTTTGTGCTTCAATTGGTTAAATAGACTATACTTTCTAGTTTGCACTGCAGTTGGTTAAATTTGTTGACTTGGACTTCTGAGGGTGTACCTCGTGTGATAATTTGGCATCTTTGGTGTTGAATATGGAGATCTTATATTGTTTAACTATATTTCGTTTGCTGCTTTGTATATTACCTGTGCATATCATGCTTGAATTTGCATTTTGAATGTAGCGAGGTTCTGATGGATGATTTTCTCCTCAACCTAATGCTATGAATCTAGTTTCTAACTGAGGCTTTTGTTGCATTATTGGGTTGATTTTCTTATCTGGACAAGTTTGGAGAGGGAATCAAGGCTTTTCTTTGATATCAAGTATTTTGAAGAATGTGTGTGCAATGGAGACTGGGAGGAGGCGGAGAAGTACTTATCACGGTTCACAAATGCAGAGGATAACCTTGAATCCTTTAGCATTTTCTTTGAGATCAAAAGGCAAATTATTATGAAGCACATGACAAGTAAACACTTCTTGTTAACTTTTTTTTATATTTTTCTAAAGTTGGTTCTTGAATTGTTTTGTGCTATTTTTTTAGTTCCTAGTGTTTTCTTGGTATTTCCACGATTTTGCATTCTGGGCTTTATGGGTTTGTTTTATAACTCTGAACATTGTCAATTTTGTAGGGGTGATCGTAAAATGATGCTGGACATTCTTAAAAGGGAACTTGAAGTGTTTACTCTTTCCCAAGCAGATCTTTACAGGGACTTGTACCCCTCTTCCAATTGAACAGTTTCAGGTGCATATTACAACTTCTTTTTTGTTCTCATTAATTGATGCAAGTGATTATGGTGATTCTGTTTGTAGTTTCGATAGGTTGCAATTGGTAACTCTGTATTGGAAGTGAAGCTTCTTAGAATGGTATGAGCAGAAGAATGCCTTTAATTGCCCCTATAAATTGGGATAGAAAGTGATACTTGGATTTGAAACTAAGGCAAGCAAGCCGTTCCGGGGGTAAAATCAGGCATTCTGGATGCAAGGAGTGCGGTACCAGAAACTCCAAAGTTAGAATGAGTGGTTGATTTGTTTTCAAAAATAATGTTTGTGCAAATTGTATTAGAGGATTCATCTCAAAACAGTTGAATGATTAAACTGCCTGCTGTGCTTATGTTTTTTCCATTATGTCAATGCCTCCTTTGTACTCCGTAGAAATTTTCAATTTGGCCTTTCCTGGTACTTGTACTTTTTTTAGGCATTGTAAGAATGTGTGATGTGGATATAAGAGAAGCAAAACCACATTGGTATTAGGTAGATGACATATTTTTACAGAAATGAAAAGAAGCTTTCTAACCAAGGAGTTGAGAATTCAACCAGGATCCTACTGATGGCTCAGCTGAAGCGGTTGATTGAGGCAAATCCACTCATTGGTGATAACTTCAGTTTCCTTACTTGCAGATGTCAAGACTAGAAACACTAGTCAAACTGAGGTATACAAAGGATTTCTTATCTTCTTCATTTGCTACAAATCGTGTTGAATATCCATTACTTAAGTTGATGCTATTGCTTATATGTATTCTTGGTGAACAGTTTATATTGACAGATTCAGCCAATGCGATACTAAAGTATCTAATCATAAACTGCCCAAGAATGTTCTATATGGACCCTTACTGTGATCAAGCAACTGACACCATCCCCTGTAGCTCATGGAGTAGGTTTAACTACTACTTTTTAGTTTGTGCTTCAATTGGTTAAATAGACTATACTTTCTAGTTTGCACTGCAGTTGGTTAACTTTGTTGACTTGGACTTCTGAGGGTGTACCTCGTGTGATAATTTGGCATCTTTGGTATTGAGTGTGGAGATCTTATTATATATTTAACTCTTTTTCATTTGCTGCTTTGTATATTACCTTGTGCATATCATGCTTGAATTTGTATTTTGAATGTGGCAAGGTTCTGATGGATGAGTTTTTCCTCAAGCTAATGCTATGAATCTAGTTTCTAACTGAGGCTTTTGTGCATTGTTGGGTTGATTTTCTTATCTGGACAAGGTTGGAGAGGGAATCAAGGCTTTTCTTTGATATCAAATGTTTCTAAGAATGTGTGAGCAATGGAGACTGGGGGGAGGTGGAGAAGTACTTATCACAGTTCACAAATGCAGAGGATAACCCTGAATCCTTTAGCATTTTCTTTGAGATCAGAAGGCAAATTATTATGAAGCACATGACAAGTAAACACTTCTTGTTAACTTTTTTTTATATTTTTCTAAAGTTGGCTCTTGAATTGTTTTGTGCTATTTTTTTTTAATTCCTAGTGTTTTCTTGTATTTTCACGATTTTGCATCCTGGGCTTTATGGGGTTTGTTTATAACTCTGAACATTGTCAATTTTGTAGGGGTGATCGTAAAATGATGCTGGACATTCTTAAAATGGAACTCGAAGTGTTTATCTTTTCCAAGCAGATCTTTACAGGGACTTGTACCCTTTTTCAATTGAACAGCTTCAGGTGTATATTACAACGTCTTTTTGTTCTCATTAATTGATACAAGTAATTATGGAGATTCTGTTTGTAGTTTGGATGAGTTGCAATTGGTAACTCTGTATTGGAAGTGAAGGTTCTTAGAATGGTATGAGGAGAAGAATGCCTTCAATTTGCCCCTACAAATTGAGACAAAAAGTGATACTTGGATTTGAAACTGAGGCAAGCATGCTGTTCCGCGAGTCAAAATAAGGCATTCTGGATGCAGGAAGTGCTGCGCGCCAGAAACTCTAAAGATGGAATGAGTGGTTGATTTTTTTCAAAATAATGTGTGTACTGACTGTATAAGACGATTAATCTCAAATCAATTGAATGATTAAGTTGCCATTGTGCTTTTGTTCTTTCCATTCTGTCAATGTCTTCTTTGTACTCCGTAGAATTTTTGAATCTTGGTTTTCTCTAGTGATTGTTCGATGTTTTTGGCTTTGTAAGAGTGTGTGATGTGGATATATACAAGGAAAACCACATTGGTATTAAGTATATGACACATTTTTTCCAGAATGCAAGAGAAGCTTTCTGTCCATGGAGATGAGAAGTCAGCCAAGATCCTACTGATGGCTAAGTGAAGCAGTTGACTTAGGCAAATCTGCTCATTGGTGATAAGATTCAGTTTCCTACCCTGCAGAAGTCGAGACTAGAAACACTAGTCCAACCGTGGTATACAAAGGATTTCTTATCTTTATCATTTGCTTCATAATCATGTTGAAAATCCATTACTTAAGTTGATGATATTGCTTATATGTTTTCTTGGTGAACAGCTTAAGTTGGCAGATTCAGCAATGCGATAATGAAGGATCTAATCATAAACTGTCCAAGAATCTTGTATATGAGGACCCTTACTGTGATCAAGCAACTGACACCATCTATTGTATCTCATGGAGTAAGTTTAACTACTACTTTTTAGTTTGTGCTTCAATTGGTTAAATAGACTATCTTTCTAGTTTGCACTGCAGTTGGTTAACTTGTTGACTTCAACTTCTGAAGGTGTACATCGTGTGATAATTTGGCATCTTTGGTGTTGAATGTAGAGATCTTATATTATTTAACTCTATTTCATTTGTTGCTTTGTATATTACCCTGTGCATGGCGTGCTTGAATTTGTATTTTGAATGTGGCGAGATTCTGATGGATGGTTTTCCCCTCAAACTAATGCTATTTAATCTTGGTTATAACTGAGGTTTTGTTGCATTATTGGGTTGATTTTCTTATCTGGACAAGGTTGGAGAGGGAATCAAGGCTTTTCTTTGATATCATGTATTTCGAAGAATGTATGAGCAATGGAGACTGGGGATGAGGTGGAGAAGTATTTGTCATGGTTCACAAAGGCAGATGCTAACCCTGAATCCTTTAGCATTTTCTTTGAGATCAGAAGGCAGAATTATTATGAAGTACAAGACAAGTAAAAACTTCTTGCTAATTTTTTTTATATTTTTTAAAGTTGGTTCTTGAATTGTTTTGTGCTATTTTTTTAATTCCTGGTGTTTTCTTGGTATTTTCACGATTTTGCATTCTAGGCTTTATGGGGCTTGTTTTATAACTCTGAATATTGTTAATTTTGTCCAGGGGTGATCGTAAAATGATGCTGGACATTCTTAAAAGGGAACTCGAAGTGTTTACTCTTTCCCAAGCGGATCTTAATAGGGGACTTGTACCCCTTTTCCAATTGCACAGCTTCAGGTGCATATTACAATGCCTTTTTGGTCCTCATTAATTGATGCAAGTGATTATGGTGATTCTGTTTGTAGTTTCGATGAGTTGCAAGTGGTAACTCTGTATTGGAAGTTAAGTTTCTAGAATGGTATGAGTAGAAGAATGCCTTTAATTGCCCCCTATATATTGGACAAAAATGAATACTTGGATTTGAAACTAAGGCAAGAAAGCTGTTCCGGGGGTAAAATCAGGCATTCTGGATGCAGGGAGTGCGGTACCAGAAACTCCAAAGGTGGAATGAAGAGTGGTTGATTTGTTTTCAAAATAATGTGTGTGTGGACTATATAAGAGGATTCATCTCAAATCAATTGAATGATTAAGTTGCTAGCTGTGCTTATGCTCTTTCCATTTTGTCAATGTCTTCTTTGTACTCCGTAGCATTGTACCATCTGGCCTTCTCTGGTACTTGTACGATTTTCAGGCTTTGTAAGAGTGCGTGATGTAGATATATAAGAAGTAAAACTACATTGGTATTATGTATATGACATATATTTCCAGAAAAAGAGAAGCTTTCTGGCCATGGAGATGAGAAGTCTGCTAGGATGCTACTGATGGCTAATCTGAAGCAGTTGATTGAGGCAAATCCACTCATTGGTGATAAGCTTTAGTTTCCTACCTTGCAGATGTCAAGACCAGAAACACTAGTCAAACTGAGGTATACAAAGGATTTCTTATCTTCTTTATTTGCTTCATAATCGTGTTAAATATCCATTACTTAAGTTGATGATATTGCTTATATGTATTCTTGGTGAACAGCTTATGTTGGCAGATTCAGGAATGCGATACTAAAGGATCTAATCATAAACTGCCCAAGAATATGAAACGAGGGGTAATTTGTGATGGGTGAATTGTATGGTTTTTTATCCGAATACTATCTGTACAAGTATCCTAATCCTACTCCTAATCCTAAACCTAAACCAATAACTAAAAATTGGAGTGTCGGAATAATAGTTGGCCAAGGACCTAATCCTATGTCGTGATGTCCAGATGTTGAGCGTATTTCTACGCAATTAAAAATTGGAAGGATAAAAGTAGGGATAATTTCAGAAACCTTCCTTGAGATTTTTAACAATTTCACTAGTCTCCCATAAAGTTTGTAAAATTATACAAATCTCTCCTATAGTTAAGGTTTTGATAACAAAATTAGTCCAATTAGAAAAAGTAACATTAAAAAGGTATTTTAAGGAGAGAAATGGAACTTTTATTGCATAAATACCTCTTAAGCATATATAAGTAGTATTACTAAAAGAATAAAAATAATTAAAAATTAGAAATAATTAATACACGTATTTCATCACTCAAAAAGTTTAAATTTAATAAATTAGACAGCACAAATAAATAACAAAACTATACTGATGATTATAAGATTTAGCAAAACAGACTAGTAATCTCTTTTAACATGATATTTACTATGATTTTTGTGATTTTGAATAGAAAATTTTTCAAATTTTGCATTTCGTTTCTCTCTTTTCTCCTTTATTTTCATGAAATTACTTTACAATTGTCACAACTTTAAGAGTTTCAAAGAAAATATCATAATAAACAACCTTCTTTTGCCCTGTATTTTTTGTTCTACCAAATCTCTTCTTCTCACATTGTGCACAAAATACCAAATCTCTTCTTCTCACATTGTGTACAACTAATTTCTAGTTATTGCCGAATTCTATCAATCACAAAATAGTGCCATTAGATTTATCAATTGATGTATTTTGTAATTACATGTCATCGTTCATCATTAAAGAAATCTTCAACGGTTATTTCTATTAACTAGTTACTAATAGTTAATTAGTGCTTCTTATTACTTAAATTAGTAAAGGAAAAATGAGGGGAAAGAAAGATAAAATTTGAATTCTTTTCAAATCACAAGAATTGTAGCAAACATTATGTCAAAAGAGATAAATAATCTGTTTTGCTAAATACTATGATCATTAGTGTAATTTTGTTGCTTATTTATATTGTCTAATTTATTGAATGTGAATTTTTTGAGTAGTAAAATGTGTGCATTAACTGTTTCTAACTTTTAATTATTTTCATTCTTTTACTAATACAACCTATATATATGCATAAGGGGTATTTATGGAATAAAAATCTCATTTCTCCCCTTAAAGTACTTTTTTAACGTTACTTTTTCTAATTGGACTAATTTTGGTATCAAACCTTAACCTTAGGGGAGATTTGTGTAATTTTTCAAATTTCAGGGGAGGCTAGTGAAATTGTCAAAAACCTCAAGGGAGGCTTCTAAAATTATCCCATAAAAGAAAGAATTAATCAAGCTCTATTTGGATGGGTGTAATTCAGGAAAATGATTTCTTTGTTTTTGAGTGCTTGGTTGTATTAAGGAGCTTTCTTTTAAGAAAACCAGTTCATTGAAAAAAAGCATAGTTATTAAACTCAACCCAATAAGCAGCAAAGGGACTAGATCATTGGGTCATTCGTGAGTATTAATTTAATATTTATAAATATAAAATAGTGAATTTAATATACATAAAATATATAATAAAATGCTTTTGGATACTAATTATTATACTTAGAAAGATATATAATAAATATGTAGATATTAATAGAAGATTTAATTTTATTTTATCGTACTTTTAAATAAATAAATAATATAGTAAGTATAAAAAAATTTATATCGCTTACTTTGAAAAATATCGCATTATGTTTTCATTATTTTACTTTTATTTAAATATAAAGTAATTTTCTAACTAATCAAATATGGTCAGTTGAAAAATTAAAAGGATTAATTGTATCTTAAAAAAATATTTAGTTATCAAATAAAAACTAAACAAGTGGTAAAGTCTATATATATATATATATATATTCAAATGAAGATCCCATGTACAAATCTTATTAAAAGATATATATATTTTATTTCAAAAACAAAGACCCACAATAATAAAAAGGTAAAGTGGATCAATTGAAAAATCGGACGGATTTTCGGTTGAACCACTCTGTCAACTAGGTTTGTACGGGTTTGACCGGATCAATTTCTTGTTCAGTCAAACTAGAGACCTTACCCGGTCTAATGCCCGCGGTCATCGAGCTGACCGGTTCAATCGCTGGGTCAAGTCAGGTCTAATAACTATGGAAAAAGGTTTTACGATCGGATGTAATGTAAAACAACCTACAAAATGTCCCTACTGAAATTGTTCTTCACTGCAACTTTTTCATCTTCTCAAACCGATAGGCTCGTCATATTCAGCTATATTCTCAATACTTTCTCCTCCTCTTTCTACAAATTTTGGATTATCATTAAACAGGATGTAGTAAATGAAATCCAAGCATTCTTTTACTTCGATTATGTGTTTGAATCTCTCATTCACACAGTCATCTCCCTTATTCCCAAAATCCTATATCCCACTAAACACTATAGGCCTATTAGCCTTTCTAATGTCATGTATAAGACTATAGCTAAAGTGCTTGCTAATAGGCTTAAAAATGTTCTCAATAGATGCATAAATGAAAATCAATTTGCATTTGTCCTTTGTAGGCAAATTCTTGACAATGTCATCATTTCTCATGAATTTTTGCATTATAAATTATTTGAAAAACAAAAAGCAACGTAAAGATGATTACATAGCGGTGAAATTGAATATGCCTAAAGCTTATGATAGTATGGAGGTCTGAGAGCCCAAAAATTCTCCTGTCTTATTTAAAATTTAACGCATGTTCCACTTTCTTTATGATTGATTGATTTGCATGTTCAATTGTTTCTTTTCATTAACAAATAGATAGGTACACCTTAGGAGAAACTGTATCACTTATACCGCAAACCATTAGTATTAGTTAGAATTTGTTGTTGTGGCAAAAAAAAGAACAGAGAGAGAGCCACACGAACCAGCATGCATGACAAGTGTGATAACATAGAAGAACCAGCATGCATGCTTCATTCCTCAAACATAAAAGAACCAAATCCTTCTTAGTTGGCCGAGAGAAAGTAGTAGAAACCGCCTATTGTCTTTCTTTTCCTTTGCTTATTAAGAACCGAGAGAAAACAAGAAAAAAAAAAAAAAAAGAAAACCAACTACATATCGTTCACTTCTCTGCTTACTAAAACCGAGAGACAAACAAGAAGGAAAAAAAAGACAAACAACAGAAACTGTAAAGAAACAAGCCAAGAAACAAGGAAAAACTCCAGCTCATTTAGCTAAGAAATCGAGGGAGAGAAACTAGAAATTGTTCCAGCTTACAACTGTAAAGAACAAGAGGTAATTTACTAAGTTTTCCTTCAATTTCCTTCTACTTCCAATTAGCAATGTCTCAGGTTGAGTCAGAACCAAGAAAAGAAGAAATTTACCGAGGGAAAATTCATGAAAGCTGGAAAATTTTGTTTAAAGTTCCTGCATGCTACGATGGTGTTAAAGCTGCAACTTTTGAGTCATTCTCCTTCAAAATTTGTTTGATTATGACTTCATGCATTATATATGCTCCCAAGTTTACATATTTTGACATGCATGCAATATTTGGCATGAACTCAAGTAGAATGTTTAAGAAAATGAAGAAAACCTTGCTAAAGTTCCTGTGTTGATTTTGCTTGAAGGCCGACAGGCTGAAGTGTAGAATTTCCTGCTTTATCTC